TGGGAGAGTGTCAAAGTAGCTCTTGTACACTCAGGATTTCATACAGATCAAAGAGATCTCGTACAAATCAAGAGAATCTAGAAAAACACCTCTTTCTTCTTAGTGACAAAGCTGATATATTTAAAGATGATTATTTTTAAAAGTGTTAGTGACTTAAACATGATTAAATATTTCCCCTATCTAATTACAGTTTGTATGAATTACTTGCTTGTGAAAGTCAGTGGCTGATTTCCTTTTCAATAGGTAATTCAAAACAGGAATGTGAGCAGCTGTGGTTTTCCCCTTCCTCAAAGCTGTGATAAAGGAGATAAATATCTACAATAGTTTGAGGCAACATTTCATGCCTTGCTACATATAGGCAACTCTGCAGTGTTCATACAGGGCATATTAATTCAGGGGAAGTTCTTAAGACTTAAACTAGCACTGAAGTTTAGAAGGCAATATGGGAAGTTTCTAACACTGCCTCTCAGCAGTTTACTTATGTTGATTGCCTCCATAAAGCAACTCTCAACATGGGGTAGAGAAGCCTTAAAACATCCACCCCTCTGGGTTTATATGCTTTTTGTAAATTAGCACCAAGGAAACAGTTCCAGAATTGAGCTGATTTCAACTAACTATTGGTCCAAACCACTTTTTTTCAGGGGGATCTTTAACTTCCTATAAATTGAAAAGAATGTACTGCCTATGAAAATAAACCTACAGTATCATGTACCTCCAAGGATCAGACCACAGGGACAGATGTTTGCATTAATATGCATGGTACCACCTTTTATTGCAAAAAACAGTAATAGAGATTTGTTAACTTGATATGATTCAGATTAGGATTTCATTGTAGCAAGGCTGTCCATTTGCAGTGCCGCAAGTACCGCTCTTGAACTTACCATTTTCATGTGCTTGCAGCAATTTTTGTAGTCTAACATCTAATAAATGCTTACATTACCTTTACTGTAGTACAAACGTGGCATTTCTTGAAAGGTAGGTACAGCAGCACAGGTATGGTCAAGACAGCACCCATGGCCATTATTTAAGCAGGGAAGGAGATTTGGAAGTAAGCCTGTTATATTTGCATTTCAGAAAACAGCAGGACTCAACAACTGCACATTTGTCATTCTTCCCACACACAGCTCAAGATTGTGTTGTTCCACACTTCTGAAAAGTCACGCTGCACAATCCTTCATCTTATAATAAGCATTTTTGCGCTTTGGGTTTTTTTTGAGACCACATTTATTGTAAACAGCATTACTTCAGCTCTTTGCCAAGAAAGTCTGGAAGATTTTTTTGATAAAAGAAACTGTATTACCATTGTTGGTAACAGATAGCTGTTATTTCTATATACAGTAGCGAGGTGGGAAAGAAGAGGTCTTTTATAAGAACTTTGACATAAATGTCTTAAGTTCTATCACACTTCCAGTTATTTTTAGTAAAGGCATACACTATGCAGAGTACAAGATACATCTGGGATGCGCACATTAAGACCATTTTCCGCCAGCTGCCCCCTCCGCCCCGCCCAATTCAAGCTTTTTTCCCATAAGTGTTTTTAAATGAAGCAAGCACTCAATGCTTGATAGCACTAGAGCAAAGATATATTTCAACTTCAGAGTTTCCAAACAGGAAGAAACAAAGAAAACGTTTGACATCTCAAAGTATGCTTCACAGGTCAATAATGAAAGACAAACCGTGCAGTCTTCTCTTTCCAAGCTTAAGTTACAAGTAGGATACAGCGTACTCAAATCCACATTCCAATGAACTTGTTCATACATCATAAAAAGTATCATATACACAGAAACCAAATCCCACGTCCTCCCCAACCAAAAAGGTAGTCTGAATAAATCTCATATCATGTCAGAGAAAAAGTTGCTATTTGTCTCCAGCGGCATCCCATGTGCTTTCAATTTCACTAAGCATACACCCAACAACGTAAAATTAACACTGGTTGGGCAATTATCCAAACAAGGGAACCACCCAAGAGGTACTTGCAAATACACTTAGGCTATAAAGGAAACATGTTTACTCCTGAACTGAAATACCCGAATGCTGATTCCCTTCAGTTTTCTACAGTTTCCTTTTACCCTCCTCAAAGAAGGGCCTTACAGTGCAATACAGAACAATGACATCGAGAAGAATTCTCATGTTCGTGTTCCCAATCTATT